ACCCCTTCCCCTTTCTCCCGTACCCCCCCCCTTCACCCACTCACTCACTCACCCCCCCCTGCCCCTCTCCCTGACCATAGAGGCGGACGCCCCAGAGGAGTTCTGGGCGCACGCCTACGAGGAAGCAAGTTTTGCGGCCGCTGGCTGGAGCAGGTGCACAGGTGGCGCTACCAGCGACGCCGCCGACGTTGCCGCCCATCGCGCGCGGGGCGCCTTCTGTCCGGGCTGGGGCTCGAGTCCGGGCCTCGCGCGACCGGCATGCCGGGAGCATGCAGCGCGGCTACTACTCAGAGTATCTGGGCTCGTTCCCGACCGACGACCTGCTGCGCGAGTCGACGTCCGGGCCCATGGGTGCCGAGTCGAGCGACTCGGCCCACGTCCGGCGCCAGCGCCCGCCGTTGGTCTCGTCGTTCCGCTCGACCCGCGGCGTGTCCGGCGTGACGCTGAGCAGTGCCGCCAGCGGCGACGTGGCGCCCGCTAGCCGAGCGCGAAGCACGCGTGAGGCCGCCGGACTCGGGACCGCTGCTGTCGACGCGTCGGCGTATGTGACTGCGCCGTCGGCGTCGCGGACCCGCGGCGCAGCCGCACTGCACGTGCTGGCGCAGGCCGGGGCAATGGTCGGCGTGCCTGCGTCTGCGCTCGAGCCCAAGGTCATGTCACAGTTTAAGACTGCGCCGGGCAAGACGCCGCGCAAGATCGAGATTGAGCGGCGGAAGCGCGAGTATGCGGCTCAGGATCTGGAGGAGCTCCTTGCGGCGCAGGGTGTTGACTACCGGCTGAGCGAGGCTGAGCGCAACGCGTCTGCCGCGTTTCCGTCATACCTCCCACTCGAGCCGTTTGACGACACCGAGTTTGAGGTCCGTACGCCGCGCGAATGGCTGGAGCTCGGCGTGGAGAATGGGGTCATGTGTGGCGTGCCTGGTGCGGCGGTGGTGTTTGACAGCGCCGGGTGCGGCTCGTGGGTGCCGGTCCTCGTGGTCGACTACTCTGCCGAGGCCGAGGCGTACGTCGTCGTCCCGCGTGGAGCGACGCCGGCGTCGGCGGCGTACTCGCTCGTACACCGCATCCATCTCTACTTTGTGGCCGAGTCGCCAGCCAACTTTGCGGCGCGTGTGGGCGCGGCGCACCGGTCGCGGCGTGACGCCGAGGCGCTTCTGCGGTACAACCTGTACATCGACTCGATGCCGACAGCCGAGCTGCCGTCGATGACGCAGGGAACAGTCAATCGGATCCTCGAGTTTTCGGTGGCCGGCGCCGCGCCATCGGCGTCACAGCTGACGCTGCTCGAGTCGCTGCTCTCGCAGGTCGGCGTCGATTACGCGCGGGCTATGAACAAGATCATCTTTGACACTTCGCGGAAGGATCCTGCCCAGCACGACCAGTTTGCCTTTCTCACCCTCCCGCCAGACCCTGAGCCAGCGCCTGTCCCGCTCACCGGCGCCATCACCATTCCGGGCTTTGACTACGAGGCTGCATACTCGGGCTTTACCTTTCTCTCGTTCCTTACAAAGTCGGAGGTTATTGCGACGACGGCCAAGGTGCGGACCGAGTGCAACAAGGTGCTGCAGCTCAACTTGTTCAACAACCACGTGACCAAGTCGCTGCGGCTCGACGAGTTTGAGACAATGCAGAACCAGGCGGCGGTGCATACGCTCAACCACCTCAAGGACAACTGGAAGACTAATCTCAAGAACGCCATTCGCGGCACTCTCAAGGACGTCGGCAAGGGCTGGTTCAACCTCAACGAAAAGTCGCGCGAGGTCTACGAGATCTCCAAGCTCAAGAAGTTTATGGTCATGGTCAAGTTTGTCATGCAGGACACGCTCCGCTCGCTTGCCCTCGACTCGCTCACCTCGTTCCACAACCTGGTTGTTGGCTCGGCGCCGGTCCACGTCGACATTGCCTCGCCCGGTGAGGTCGACGTCGTCTTTGGCTCGACACCCATGCCAGCTGCCGCCGCAGGCCTCGCTGCGCACAAGTACCCGCTGTTCGCGGTCGACCTTGTTGTCCGTGACGGCCAGCTGGTGTACTCGACCAAGCCGTCCGCCTTTGAGGAAGTGCCTATTCTCCTCTTTGAGCGCGCCATCTCGCTCATCCAGGACCTCCCACAGCTCGAGCCCGAGGTCCTGCAGGAACTGTTCTGGGCGACGAAGCCGGTGCTCGAGTCGGTCTCGCGGCACGATCCGGTTGTGCTCAAGCTCCGGGCTGCCATGGTCGGCGCCGTGGCGCGGTCGACTGGCCCGCTCGACGCGTACCTTGCGCAGTACGACGAGTACGCCGGCCTCATTGCGCTCGACCCACTCGAGGCCGTTCGCCAGCTGGAAGACGACGCGGCGTCCGGTGCCGGGCGCCCGCTCACAACAGCCTACCTTGCCGAGCTCATCCAGGACCACCGCGTCAAGCAGGCCGAGCTCGAGGAGCTCGTCCCGCGCTCGATCAACATTGGCATGTTCCGAGTCTCGTGCGAGCTTGTCCGCAACATGCTCATCCGCAAGCGGCGCGACCTCGGCCGGCTCCTCCTCGACCTCCTCGCCCGCCGGACCCGGGCCAAGGCCGACACCTTTTGCGAAGAGTTTGAGGCCGTTGCGGCGAGGCTCCAGGTCCGGCCGACCAAGATTGAGGAGCTTGTTGACATGGAAAAGTTCCTTTCCTCGGTCCCGCTCTTTGTCGACGAGCACCTCTCGGCGCTCGAGGAGCTCAACTCGGACTACGCCGTGCTCGAGGAGTTCCGCTACAACCTGCCGCCGGACGACTTTAACCGCAAGTGGGCTGCCGCCGGGTGGCCCAAGTCTGCGCTCGAGATGGGCGAGACGACGACGCGGGTGCTGGAGAAGGACCGTGCGAGGTTCGAGAAGGACCTGGTGAGCGATCAGGAGGCATTCGCCGAGCGGCTGGAAGAGCTCGCCCGAGCCGTCGCATCGCTCACCAAGTACACCAAGCTCGACGAGGTCGACGACGCCGCCGCCGATGTAGCCAAGCTCGAGAAGCAGATTGCGTACGCGCTCGACAAGGTCCAGCTCTTCCACTCGCGCGAAGTGCTGTTTGAGCGCGAGCTGACAGACTACGACGAGGTCTCGGGTGTGGTCAAGCAGTTTGAGCCGTACCAGAAGCTGTGGACGACAACGGCCTCGTGGCTCGAGTGGCACCAGTCGTGGATGCACGGCCCGTTCTCAGAGCTTGACGCCAAGGACATGCAGGCCAAGCTGACTGCAGCCTGGTCGTCAATGTTCAAGCTGGTCAAGGTCTTCAAGGACGCGCCAGGCTGCCTCGCCGTGGCGACAAGCGTCAAGGGCCAAATGGATGCCTTCAAGCCGCACGTCCCGCTCATCATGGCGCTGCGGAACCGCGGCATGCGCGACCGGCACTGGGAAACACTCGAGGACAACCTCGGGATGTCGGTCCGCCCGACCGACGACGCCTCGTTTGCCGAGGTCGCCACGCTCGGGTTGGAGGCCCATCTCGAGGCCATCGAGGAGGTCGCCGGCGTCGCGTCGCGCGAGTATGGCATCGAGTCGGAGCTTGACTCGATGCTCGCCACTTGGGAGTCGACAGTCTTTGAGATTGTCGAGTACGGCGAGACCGAGACGTACATTCTCCGCGGGACCGAGCCCATCATCCAGCTCCTCGACGACCACATTGTCATGACCCAGGCCATGAGCTTCTCGGCCTACCGCGAGCCGTTTGAGGACCGCATCGGCAAGTGGGAGAAGAAGCTCGAGCTCATTCAGGAGACCATCGAGGAGTGGCTCCTCTGCCAGAAGCAGTGGCTCTACCTGCAGCCCATTTTCTCGTCAGACGACATCAACCGCCAAATGGTGGTCGAGGGCAAGCGCTTTGCCACCATGGACCGCATGTGGCGGAAGAACCTTGGATCTGCCGCCGCCGCGCCAGGCGTTCTCGCTGTGTGCAAGGACGCCAAGCTGCTGGACTCGTTCCGCGAGTGCATCAAGCTCCTCGACCTCGTCCAAAAGGGTCTCACCGAGTACCTTGAGACCAAGCGCGCCATCTTTCCGCGCTTCTACTTTCTCTCCGACGACGAGATGCTCGAGATTCTCTCGCAGACCCGCGATCCGACCGCTGTCCAGAAGCACCTCTCCAAGTGCTTTGAGAACATCGGCTCGCTCACCTTTGGCGAGGACAACATCATCACCGCCATGTCGTCGGGCGAGGGCGAGACCGTGCCGTTCATCGAGCACTTTTATCCCAAGGGCAATGTCGAGAACTGGCTGCTCGAGGTCGAGCGCGTCATGAAGCTCTCGGTCCGCGACGTCATCAAGAAGGCCGTCGGCGCTTACCCCAAGATGGCGCGGACCGAGTGGGTCGCCCAGTGGCCGGCCCAGGCCGTCCTCGTCGTGGCGCAGATCTACTGGACGCAGCAAGTGACTGCCGCCATCCGGACCGGCACCTTGCCCAAGCTCCATGCCATGCTCGTCCAGCAAATTGACGAGCTCACCATGATGGTCCGCTCCGAGCTGCCCAAACTCGTCCGCAAAACCATTTCGCCGCTCATCATCCTCGACGTCCACGCTCGTGACGTCACCGCCCGCCTCGCCGAGGCCCACGTCGACTCAGTCACCGACTTTGAGTGGATGTCACAAATGCGCCAGTACTGGGAGGACTCGAACGCGGTCATCAAGATGGTCAACACCTCGTTTGTCTACGGCTACGAGTACCTCGGCAACACCGGCCGCCTCGTCATCACCCCGCTCACCGACCGGTGCTACCTCACCCTCACCGGCGCGCTCCACCTGCAGATGGGTGGTGCGCCGCAGGGCCCGGCCGGTACCGGCAAGACCGAGACGACCAAGGACCTCGCCAAGGCGCTCGCCAAGCAGTGTGTCGTCTTCAACTGCCAGGGCACCCTCGACCACATTGCCATGGGTAAGTTCTTCAAGGGCCTCGCCTCGGCAGGCGCCTGGGCCTGCTTTGACGAGTTCAACCGTATCGAGCTCGAGGTCCTCTCCGTCATTGCTACCCAGATCCTGCAGATCCAGCGGGCTATCCAGACCAAGCAGAAGCGGTTCCTGTTTGAGGGCGCCCAGATTGCGCTCGACCCAACGTGCGCCATTTTTATCACCATGAACCCCGGGTACGCCGGGCGCGCAGAGCTGCCAGACAACCTCAAGGCCCTCTTCCGCCCTGTCGCCATGATGGTGCCCGACTACGCCATGATTGCCGAGATCATGCTTTTCTCGTTTGGCTTTTCCGAGGCCTCGCAGCTTTCGCGCAAGATGACCGCCACCTTCCGGCTCTCTTCGGAGCAGCTCTCGTCGCAGTCGCACTACGACTTTGGCATGCGTGCCGTCAAGACCGTCATTTCTGCCGCCGGTAACCTCAAGCGCGCCGATCCGTCCAAGTCGGAGGAGATCATTCTGCTCAAGGCGCTCAAGGACTGCAACGTGCCCAAGTTCCTCGCCGAGGACCTCGTCCTGTTCAACGGCATTATTTCAGACCTCTTTCCGGGCGTGGTCCAGCCTCAGGACTCGTACGGTGCGCTCGAGTCAGAGCTCGTTGCCGCGCTCAAGGCCCAGGGCCTGCAGCCTGCGGCGCAGTCGATCCACAAGTGCATCCAGCTGTACGAGACGACTGTGGTACGCCACGGGCTGATGCTCGTCGGGCCGACCGGCGGCGGCAAGACCGTCACGTACCGGACACTGGCTCGGGCCATGACGGCGCTCGCTGGGCAGGGCCCGTTCACCAAGGTCCACTACGATGTGATCAACCCCAAGTCCATTACCATGGAGCAGCTGTACGGGTTCTTTGACCCGAACACCCACGAGTGGACCGAAGGCGTCCTCGCCAACATCATCCGCGAAGGCGCCGAGAGTGAGACCGGCGAGAAGCGGTGGACCGTGTTTGATGGGCCAGTCGACGCGCTGTGGATCGAGAACATGAACACTGTGCTCGACGACAACAAGAAGCTCTGCCTCTCGTCCGGCAAGATCATTCGCCTCTCGGACGCGCAGACCATGATGTTTGAGGTCGAGGACCTTGCCGTTGCTTCGCCAGCTACGGTCTCGCGGTGCGGCATGGTGTACATGGAGCCGTCGGGCCTCGGTCTCCAGCCGCTCATCGACTCGTGGCTGGCCAAGCTGAGCCCTGCGTCGCTCGCTGAGAGCGTGGCGCCGGTCTTTGCCGAGCTCTTCAACGCACTCGCCCTCCCTGCCCTCGCCTTTGTGCGATCGTCGCTCGTCGAGCCTGTTCCGACCGTCGACAACAACCTCTTGCAGTCACTCATGCGGCTGCTCGACGCGTTTATGGCCTCGCTCGTTCCGCCCGAGGGCGGCGCGCTCCCGCAGGCTGCCGTTGACCGCATCGTCGCCCTTGCGCCGGCGCTCTTTGTCTTTGCGCTTGTGTGGTCGATCGGCGCCACGTCGGACGCCGCAGGGCGTTCGGCCTTTGACGCTCACCTCCGTGATGCGCTCGTGGCTGCCGGTCCGCTCGCAGCCTCGGTTCAGCTCCCGGGCGCTGGCCTTGTCTACGACTGGTTCCTCGACTTTGCGGCCGGACTCAAGGTGTCAGCCGGTGGCGCCGCGAGCGGCTCTGCGCTCGCCGAGACGCACGCGGCAGCCGCCGCGGCTGGCGGCGAGAGTGAGGGCTCGGGCTCAAGCCGTGTCTCATGGGTCCCGTGGATGGACACCATTCCGCCGTATGCCATCAAGCGGCGGACAGCCTTTGCCGACATCATTGTGCCGACCATCGACTCGGTCCGTTACACGTACATGCTTGACGTCCTGCTGCAGGCCGGCTCGCACGTGCTCTGCGTCGGGCCGACCGGGACCGGCAAGTCGTCTATTGTGGGCGACAAGGTGATCAAGCACATGGACAAGAACTTTGAGTCGATTGTGGTGACGTTCTCGGCTCAGACGTCCGAGAACATGACCCAGGACATCCTCGACTCCAAGTTTACTCGTCGCCGGCGTACCCAGTACGGGCCGCCGGCCGGCAAGCGGTTTGTCATTTTTGTCGACGACCTCAACATGCCGGCCAAGGATGAGTACGGCTCGCAGGGCCCGATCGAGCTGCTGCGGCAGTGGATGGACCATGGCGGATGGTACGACCGGTCGTCGCTGACCTTCCTAGAGATTGTAGACATTGTGTTTGTTGGCGCGCTCGGCCCGCCGGGTGGCGGGCGGTCAGCAATGACGCCGCGGTTTAAGCGGCACTTTAACCTGCTCTCATTCACTGAGCTCTCACGCGAGTCGATGAGTCGTGTCTTTACCACCATCATGGACTCGTTCTTTGGCTCGTTTGTGCCCGAGGTGGCGAGCTTGACAAAGTCGGTGGTCGAGGGCACCATCTCAGTCTACGCCTCGATCCAGGCCGAGCTGCGGCCGACACCGTCGCGGTCGCACTACACGTACAACCTCCGCGACCTGTCCAAGGTGGTCGAAGGCGTGGTACAGGCATCGCGTGAGGCGGTGCAGAGCCGGGCCGAGCTGGTGGCGCTCTGGGCCCACGAGTGCACCCGGGTCTTCCATGACCGTCTCGTCGACGCGCACGATCGCGAGTGGTTCAAGGGAGAGCTTAAGAAGATTATGGCCTCGCAGTTTGGCATGCGGTGGCTGGACGTGGCCAAGGATCTCGGCCTTGCCGCACGGAGCAGCAGCTCGGCGGCCGGAGCCGTGAGCGGCGCAGAGCTCGACGACGTGGTCTTTGCCGACTTTTGGTGCCCAACGCCGATCCCAAGGTGTACGCGCGGGTGGAGGACATGAGCGTGCTTCTCCGGGTGGTGGAAGAGTATCTTGAGGAGTACAACGCGACGCAGGAGAATCCGATGAACCTGGTCATGTTCAACGACGCCATTGCCCACATTTCACGCATTGTGCGGACCATCCGCCAGCCGCAGGGCAACTGCCTGCTGCTGGGCATGGGCGGGAGTGGGCGGCGGTCGCTGGCGCGGCTTGCGGCGTTTATTGCCGGCTACGAGGTGTTCTCGATCGAGATTTCCAAGAGCTACGGTGTGGCCGAGTGGCACGAGGACCTGCGGAGGATGTTTATGCTTGCCGGTGTGGAGGGCAAGAGCCTGGTCTTCCTCTTTGCCGACTCGCAGATTGTGCACGAGTCGTTCCTGGAGGACATTTCGAACATTCTCAACGCCGGCGTGGTGCCCAACATTTTCGGACCCGAGGAGGAGGAGGCCATTCTGGAGACGATGCGGCCGGTGGTGCAGAACTTGGGGATCAAGGTGACCAAGACCACCATTTTCGACCACTTTGTCAAGCGGCTCCGGGCGAACATTCACTGCGTCCTCGCCATGTCGCCCATTGGCAACGAGTTCCGGACCCGGATCCGGATGTTCCCCTCGCTCATTGCGTGCACCACCATCGACTGGTTCTCGCGCTGGCCGCTCGACGCGCTCGAGTCTGTGGCGAACAAGTTCCTCGCGCCGGTGGCTGCCGAGTACTCGCCGGCGGTCCACGCGGCAATGGTCGACTGCGCGGCGACGATGCACGAGTCTGTGGTCGGCGCGTCGGCCAAGTTCCTTGTGCAGGCCGGGCGGTTCAACTACGTGACGCCTGCCTCGTACCTCGAGCTGCTCAACGTGTACGAGAGTGTGAAGAAGACCAAGGCCGAGGCGTTTGAGACGCGCAAGGCGCGGCTGGAGGTAGGCTTGCAGCGGCTGGTCAAGACCCGGGCCGACGTCGAGGTGCTCCAGGAGGACCTCGAGGCCATGCAGCCGGGCCTTGTGCAGCTCCAGAAGGAGGTTGAGTCGACTATGATCCGGATCAACGGCGACAAGGAGTCTGCCGCCAAGTCGCGGGTGGTGGTCATGCAAGAGGAGGAGGAGGCGCGGAAGAAGGCGCGCGAGTGCGAGGACATTGCGGCGTCGGCCAAGCGTGACCTCGACGAGGCGCTGCCGGCGCTCGACGCCGCGCTCGTTGCGCTCTCAGAGCTCGACCGGACGGATCTTGTTGAGATCAAGGCGATGCAGAACCCGCCAGCAGGCGTCAAGATGGTCATGTCCGCCACGTGCATCATGTTTGGCAAGCGGCCACAAAAAGTGGATGTGCCTGGAGCCATCGGCAAGAAGCAGGACGACTACTGGCCGGTGGCGCGCCAGCTCCTCTCGAACCCGATGCAGCTGCTCAACTCGATGTACGACTTTCCGAAGGACAACATTCCCGAGGCGACGATTGCCAAGATCCAGCCGTACATTGAGGATCCGGACTTTGAGCCGGAGAAGGTGGTCCGCGTCTCGGTGGCGTGCAAGTCGATCTGCATGTGGGTCCGCGCAATGGAAAAGTACCACCAGATCTCCAAGGTGGTGGCGCCGAAGCGACAGGCGCATGCCGAGGCCAAGGCCTCGCTCGATGCCACGCTCCTCTCGCTCAAGGAGTCACAGGACAAGCTCGCCGAGCTGGAGGGCTCCATTCTGGAGCTCGAGCAGCAGTATGAGGACTCGGTGAAGCGGAAGGAGGACCTGCAGGCGCAGGTAGAGAAGACGAAGCAGCACCTCGCGCGGGCGCACAAGCTCATCGGCGGCCTTGCCGACGAGAAGGACCGGTGGAAGGAGGGCATTGCCGACATCGAGGGCTCGCTGCACGCGTTGGTGGGCGACGCCCTCCTTGCCGCAGCTGTCATTGGGTACCTAGGCGCGTTCACGACACCATTTCGCGAGGAGCTGGTGGCGGGGTGGCTGGCCAAGATGGGCGAGCTGGACATTCCGCACACGCCGTCGTTCTCGATCCGGACGGTCCTTGGCTCTGCCATTGAGCTGCGGGCGTGGAACCTCGCGGGCCTGCCGAACGACACGCTCTCGACCGAGAACGGCGTTATCGTCAAGTACTCGCGCCGGTGGGCGCTCATGATTGACCCGCAGGGCCAGGCGAACAAGTGGATCCGCAACATGGAGGCCGAGAACGGGCTCGACGTCATCAAGCTGTCAGAGAAGGACTACTTGCGGACGCTGGGTAACGCCATCCGGTTCGGCAAGCCGGTCCTACTCGAGAACGTGCCAGAGAGCCTGGACCCTGCGCTCGAGCCTGTCCTCCTCAAGCAAGTGGTGGAGCGCGAGACCGGGCCATGCATCAAGGTCGGCGACCAGGAGATCCCGTACCGCGACGACTTTAGGTTGTACATCACGACCAAGCTCCCGAACCCACACTACAAGCCGGAGACGTCGACCAAGGTGACGCTGCTCAACTTTACCCTCTCGCCTGAGGGTCTGGAGGAGCAACTGCTCGGCGTGGTGGTGGCCAAAGAGCGGCCGGATCTGGAGGATACCAAGAACCACCTGGTCTCCTCAAACGCCAAGATGCGGCAGGAGCTTGCCGAGATCGAGGACCGGATTCTGTTCCTCCTCTCGTCAGCCAAGGGCAACCCGCTCGAGGACGAGGTGCTCATCGACGAGCTCGCCAACTCGAAGAAGGTCTCGCTGGAGATCAAGCAAAAGGTGGTGGAGCAGGAAGAGACCGAAGTGGAGATCGACGCCACGCGGCGGCAGTACCAGCCTGTGGCGGTCCGCGCGCGCATTCTGTTCTTCTGCATCACCGACCTGGCCGCAGTCGACCCGATGTACCAGTACTCACTCAACTGGTTCATGGGCCTGTTCTCGGCCGGGCTGGCCAACTCTGAGCCCGACGACGAGCTCGGGGTGCGGCTCAACAACATTTCCGAGTATTTTACGTACTCGCTCTACCGCAACGTCTGCCGCTCTCTGTTTGAGCGGCACAAGGTGCTCTTCTCGTTCCTGCTCTGCACGCGGATCCTTCGCGGAGCGCAGCCGGACTACGTCGATGCCGACGAGTGGCGGTTCCTGCTCGGCGGCTCGTCGCTCATTCTGGAGGAGTCGAAGAGCAACCCTGCGCCCGAGTGGCTGACGCAGGTTGCGTGGGAGGCTGTGCAGAAGCTCGAGCTTGTGCTCCCGCGGTTCTCGGGCTTCACCGCGTACTTTGTGCGCCACATTGAGTTCTTTGCCAAGTACTTTAACTCGAGCGCACCGCACAAGCTCGAACTCCCGGGCCTGTGGCAGGAGCGGCTGAACGCGGTGCAGAGGATTGCGCTGCTGCGGTGCCTGCGGCTGGACAAGGTCGCCGGCGCGGTGGAGGACTTTATCGCGGAGGAGCTGGGCAAGGAGTTTATCATTCCGCCGACGTTTGATCTCGCCTCTGTCTACCGCGACTCGTCGCCAACGACGCCGCTAATCTTTGTCCTCTCGCCGGGCGCGGATCCCGGAGCAGACTTGTACAAGTTTGCGGTGGAAATGCGGTTCTCGAAGAAGCTGGCGACTATTTCGCTTGGCCGTGGACAGGGCGTGCGTGCCGAGGAGATGATTGCCGAGGCGATGGAGCGCGGGACGTGGGTGCTGCTGGAGAACTGCCACCTCGCGACGTCGTGGATGCCGGACCTCGAGCGCATCGTGGTCTCGTGGCAGCCAGAGAAGATCCACCGCGACTTCCGGCTGTGGCTTACCTCGATGCCGTCGCCTGAGTTTCCGGTTGTCGTCCTGCAGGAGTCTGTCAAGATGACCAACGAGCCGCCCAAGGGTGTGCGATCGAACCTGCTGCGGACGTACGCGTCGCTGGAGGAGGGTGCGCTCGACGACTCGAAGAACCCGCGGGTGTGGCGCAAGCTCCTCTACTCGCTCGCCATGTTCCACGCGGTCATCCAGGAGCGCCGCAAGTTTGGCCCACTCGGGTGGAACATCCCGTACGAGTACACTCGCGGCGACCTGGCCATCTGCATCCGGCAGCTGCACATGTTCCTCGAGGCGTACCCTGCACCGCCGTACCGGGTCCTCAAGTTCCTCGCCGGGCACATCAACTACGGTGGCCGCGTGACGGACGACATCGACCGGCGGACGCTGATGACCATCCTGGGCGACTTTTACACGCCCGAGGTCCTCGACTCGCAGTTCCGCTACGCGGGCGACGACGTTTACGCCAACCCAGAGGCTGACACGGTCAAGGGTGTGATGGACTTTGTCGAGGCGCTCCCGCACAACGACCCGCCACATCTGTTTGGCATGCACGAGAACGCAGACATCACGTTTGTGCAGAACGAGGTCGCTGCCATGTTTGCGGCAATGGTCAAGCTGCAGCCGGCGGCGACGGCAACGGCGGCGGTGGCATCGGCGAGCTCGGCTGACCTCAACGAGAGCACAGAGGCCGGTGCGACCAAGGGCGCTGATGCGGCCAAGAGCGCCAGCGCCGGTGCCAGTCTTTCGGTGGAGGACAAGGTCAAGGCAACCGCGGTGGAGGTGCTGGAGCGTGTACCGGGGCCGCTTGACGAGAGCCTTGTCTCTGCGCAACACCCGCTGGATCCGAAGGAGTCGATGTCGACGGTGCTCATTCAGGAGGTGATGCGGTACAACGCGCTGCTGCGTGTGGTCAAGCAGTCGCTCGGCGACCTGCTCGACGCGCTCGACGGGCTGGTGGTCATGTCGCTCGAGCTGGAGGAGATGGGCAACTCACTGTACCACAACCAGGTGCCCAAGATGTGGGAGACGATGGCGTACCCGTCGCTCAAGCCGCTCTCGGCGTGGGTGGTCGACCTCGTGGCGCGAATGGAGTTCATCGCGGGTTGGGCAGCGCGCGAGGGCAACCCGACGGTGTACTGGATCTCGGGCTTCTTCTTCCCGCAGGCCTTCCTCACCGGAACGCTGCAAAACTATGCGCGCAAGTACCTGGTCTCGGTCGACACGCTCTCGTTCGAGCACGTGGTCATGACCGAGACCAAGGCCGAGCTGGAGGCCGCCGGACCACCCGAGGACGGTTGCTACATCTCGGGCCTGTACATGGAAGGCGCGCGGTGGTCGCAGGACGCCGGCGCCATTGTCGACTCGCGCTCTAAGGAGCTTTACACCCTCATGCCGGTCATCTGGCTCAAGCCGGTGCCGGACAAGCCCAAGCCGTCGAACTCAGTCTACGTCTGCCCGGTGTACAAGACGCTTGCCCGTGCCGGTGAGCTCTCCACCACCGGCCACTCGACTAACTACATCACCTCGATTGAGCTCCCGATCAAGGTCGCCAGCCAGGGCGAGGCCGACGATGGCGACGACGAGCTTGTTGGCGGTGGGGCCGAGTGGGTCAAGAAGGGTGTCGCCATGTTCTGTGCGCTCAACTACTAACTAGCCGCGAGCGATCATGCAGGCGCTGTGACGCGCATCTCAAAGTGAACAACGCAAACACAATACACAGTTTGACGCAAGTCCTATCACCGCGCGTGGCAGCCGCCACGCGCCGGCCGATCGGTATCGCATGACGGCGGCTCGAGGTGAGAAAAGGCTCAGAGGCGACGGCGATGAAAGTTAAGCTCGGCTTCGACCATGCGGGCCTTGATGAGCTCGCGGGCAGCCGAGACCTGCTGCTGGGTGCCGGAAAAGGTGACGCGGCGGCCCGAAGCGTCGGGCGCAACCTCTGAGCGGTTCTGGATCTTGATAAAGGCGCCCGAGGCGGTGCGGATGGAGCGGATGGCGGAACCGCCGCGGCCTAGAATAAAGCCGACGAGGTGGTGCGGGACAAGCATGTGCTCGATGATCTTGGCCTGGATGCGGGCAGCCTCGTGCGGCGAGGCCGGTGGCGGCGGCGAGGGTGCCGTCGGCGGCGGCGAGGTCCCGGCGCGGTTGGAGAGCATCGACGCCATCGTCGACATTGATGGCAGAAGCGGAGTAATCGGCGCCGACGACGGTGTCGGCTTTGACTTTGACTGGACGCCCGGTGGCGGGCCGGGCGGCGGGCGGGGATAAAGCGGGGCCGACGTAGGAGTTGGTGCCGGCGGAGCGGCCCGCGCGCCAGTGCGCGGATCCGACCCGGACGGCGCGCGGGCGTCGGAAGCTGGGCGAGTGGCCGGGGGGGTGGCTCGGGTGGCAGCCGCGGCAGCCGAGGCCGAGGAAACAACAGCGGCCGCGGCCGCAGCGTAGGCCGATCCCGCGGCGTTGTCGAAGAGTTCGTCGATGGACGAACCGTGGTGGACAAAGGCGGCGGCTTTGGCGTGTCCGCCGCCGCCGTGGAGGGCGGCGAGGGCAGAGACGTCGATGGCCGGGTCGACGGTTCTCAGCGACACCTTAATCCGGCCGGCGGCGGCGTGGTTGGTGTAGTACACGAGGCCGATGGGTGCGAGGCGAGCAAGCTCGTTGCCGAGCTCAGACATGTTTGCCGAGGCGTTGAGGATGAGCGTCTCGTAGCCGTGAAAGGCGCGGAAGCCGGCGGTGGGAAGCTGGCGGGCAACGGCAGCGTCAATGTACGAGCGGATGGCTGAGCCGCGGGCAATGAATCGGTCGAGCTCGTCGTGGTCGAGCAGGGTTGAGAGGAACTGGAGCGAGAGGCGCGGCTGGGCCTTGAGGGCGGCGGAAAAGTCTGCGGCGTTGGGCAGGGCAAAGCGCCACAGATCGGTGTCCTGGATGTACTGGATGAGGAGCGGGGCGTCGGCCTCGGCCACGCCAGGGTGAAAGTACTGCCACGCCAGCATGGCGCCGGAGCGATCAAAGTCGAAAAAGGTGCGCTCAAAGCGGCCGGCCATGGCCACAGCGGCCGAGGTGTGGTGATCAAGGACGACAAAGTTGGCGGAGACCGCGGCGACGTCGCGCATGTCGTCGGGCGGGAAGCAAAAGTCAAAGATGGCCACGCACTTGCCGCGGATGCGCTCCAGCGGGGGCGCTCGCCGTGGCCTATGGCGATGTATTCTGCATTCCCGCCGAGGACGCAGTGGGCGGCAAAGGCCGAGCCAATGCCATCGGGGCAGCCACGATGGAAGATGACAACCTCAACGTCGCCCGGCGGCAGAGTCAGCGCCGCGAGCGCTACCACATCGGCCGGCTGCGGCTCGTGGGTGATCTCCGGGAGAGTCGAGACAAAGGTGAGCGCAGGCGGCGGGAGGGCAAAGCCCGGCGGGCGGTCATGGGCCGGTGGCGTCGAGCGGGTGGCGAGCGGCGAGTGTGGCGATGATAAGCCCGGAGACGAGGAGGAGGAGCATGAGGAGGAGGAGCAAGAGGAGGAGCAGGAGCGGGTGGGCGAGGCCGAGAACGGCGAGTGGTGGGCTGCGCCGGCCGAGGCTGAGGCAGCGGAGGCTGACGAGTCCGAGTCCGAGGACAAGGTGGCGGTGGTGTTGGAGACTGTCCCCGACGAGTGGGTGGATAGGTGGCTTCGGGGGGCGGGCATGGGGGAGGGGGGGGAGGGGGAGAGGAGAAGAGTTGGGCTGGTGTGACAGGAGGGGCACATTGTGTTGGGAGGGGGGGGGGAAGGGGGGGAGGGGAGGGGAGGGGCATTGGTTTGTGGGTATGAGGGGGGGCTGCATCTGCCCAGCGATAGGGGGTGGAGGTGGTGATGGTGGTGTGAGCGATAGAGGGGGGGGGCGGGCGAGCGGCGAGGATGGGGAGGGCCGCGGATTGGTGCCAGGCCTGGTTGTTGGGGCCTGGCTGCTGGGGGGGGCCTGGCTGCTGGGGCTAAGCATCGCGCTCACCGGTGACGAGAGCAACGCGCTGCATGATCGAGTCATGCTCAACCGAGTACGGGTGCTCCTTGGAGGGGATCTCAAGGATGGCCGGGATGGGCTCAAAGTAGGCGTCGAGGAGATGACGGATGTCGTGGGCAATGTGCTGGTTGATGAGAAGCACAGCAATGTCGTCACGCGAAGTGAATCGCTTGAAGGCGTCCTCGAGCATCTGCACGGTGGTCTCTACAGGCGGGCAAAGGGAGAGGAGGGCGGTGAGGTGGGGGGGGGGGGTGGGCGGTGGGGTTAGGGCGGGGGCGTGGGGTCGAGGGGTGGGGTGGGTAGTGGACGGGGGTGGGTGCGCTACCAGGATACCA